CTCCATTTACTTTCCTCCTTCCAACCCATTGACCCTTCCAAATGTATTGATTCCTCTCATCTACTAGTTGGTTCTTTTTTTCATTTTCTTTGTCGCTGTGAGTTTATACATTGAAATTAAAAAAAAAAAAAAATCCTGTCATGTTAGTAAAGTTTAGAGCAGAGGTCAATGCACATACTTAGTCCACTTTGTTTAGCAGCAAGACCTAGCTCATATTTTTATTTTTATTTTTTTTTATCCTCACCCGAGGGCATTTTTCCATTTTTTGTTCAGGTAGAGTGGGAGGGAGAGAGAGGAAGAGAGAGAGAGAGAGAAACATCGACGTGAAAGGAACACATCGAGTGGCTGCCACCCGCACAACCGACCAGGGCCGGGGACAAACTGCAACCGAGGTATGTGCCCTTAGTGGGAACCGAACCCGGGTCTCTCTGACCGCAGGCCGACGCTCTAACCGCTGAGCCAAACCGGCCAGGGCCTAGCTCATATTTTTATTGAATTGAATGTCACAAAAGTCAAATTTCTGCAATTGCCTACTAGCAATCAACTCCCTTCCCCCCTTTTTAAACAAGTTTGAATATTTAGGATTAAAAATTTAAGGATGCTTATTTTATTTCCCAGTTAAACAAAATATATTAGCCCAGCATAGTGAATTTAGACTCTTTGGATTTATTTCCTTGGATTTACTTATAACAATATGTTTGAAATGTGTTAAGTAGAAAAATTGGCAGGATCAGAGTGTATGTGTGTGTTTGCAATTGTGACAACAAGAGAAACTGGTAGAAGGAAAGAATGAATCTAACAGAAAGCAGTGTCAGATTTGGGGTGGGAAAGGGGGTGGTGTTTCAGATTATCACCATATAAACATTTTTAATACCATCAATAATTTCTTAATGAGCATCTGAAGTTGACTTTTTCTTTACTGTGTACTCTCACAGACTATTCACACTCAATCACTGTCTCAAAAATACTGCCTTGGGGGAGGGGAGCAGGAAGGACGGTGTCAACAGGAGAAAAAAGGAGGCACATCTGTAATACTCTCAACAATAAAGAAAAAAAAATACTGCCTTAATTGCAAGCTCTCAATATCTTGGCTGCTTTCAAAAGTTTCATATGAGTCAAAAAGTGAACAAATAACCAGAGTAGAGATCATTTTTTTTTTTTTTTTAATCCTCATCCGAGGACATTTTTCCATTTTTTGCTCAGATAGAGTGGGAGGGGGAGAGAGGAGGAGAGAGAGAGAGAGAGAGAGAGAGAGAGAGAGAGAGAGAGAGAGAGAAACATTGACGTGAAAGGGACACATCGAGTGGTTGCCACCCGCACGACCAACCTGGGCCGGGGACAAACTGCAACCGAGGTACATGCCCTTAGCGGGAACCGAACCCGGGTCTCTCTGGACCACAGGCCGACGCTGTAACCGCTGAGCCAAACCGGCCAGGGCAGAGATCATTTTTCAGTCAAGCAACTGAGAAGAGGATGCTTTGGTTTATTGGTCCCAACAGAATCTTTTACTTTCTGAGTAGCAATCGAGAGATCAGTGTTCCTATCATTTCTCTTCTTTAAAAAAAATCATTTGGATTTCCTTCAAACAATTTGGCAATGTGAGGTTTTAGGTTTTTGCCCATCATATTACAGTATCACTGTTAGATGGTATGAATGGAAAGAACTCCCCCAAATAGCTAAAGGTCCTGATATAAGGCTAGCTGTGGAGAAAACAAATAAAACAAATAAACTTTTCTTATTTTTCCCCTTGGAGAAATTTTAATAGATAATTCCGGTCTTAACAGTTCCATCTTACTTTAGTAAAACTGACTTTCCCCTCACTGTCTTTGGAGTAAATTTCCACATTTCTGCTGGATTTATGACTGCTATTACAATACTATGAATTACTGTAGTGTCGTATAGCATTGCTAGGATGCTGACTGTACTTCTTTGGGAAAAAAAGAGATAATATCATGTTGGAGTTTTACATTTCTGGGTCACAGAAGATATTGTAACATTAGTCAAGATTCTAGGCAAGCTTTATCACAGAGTTTTTATGTGACCATTGTAAATCACTTAAGTTTTCTGTGCCTTGTAAAATATGTCACACTCAAATGCATGAGGGACTCACAATCCAGTGAGCCTCATAGGAGATAAGCGTATCCAGAGGTAGGACTCAAGTTTTATTCATCTTTGTTTTCTCTTGCTTAAATTCATAATAGTTTCTCAGTAAGTGTTGACTGACAGAATTTCAAAGAAAAGTAGGACATTGGGCAAGTGGAAACCCTGTGAGATCCTAATGAGAATACTTTTATATAAATTTAATGTAGTCTGCTTGATTCTAAAGGCTATGTTGAGAGGAGGCCTGTGGGACTGCATGTAACATGAAGTACCGAGCTGATTATAGTGTAACAAGATTAAAGGAGATATATTTTAATGGGCAAATCCTTAGCTGGAATGTAGGCTGCAGTCAGTATGTGGCTGAGCGGTGATCTCTCTTGTTAAAGGGGCTGCAGTATACCATTTGAATTACCTTCACACTGGTGATGGTTTTAAGGACTTGGATACTTTCCACATGTTTGAAAGCAACTCTACATTAGATGTGAGAAAGATGTGGCCGACTTTAAACTTTGGCCAGGACAGGAGGAGAATGGAGAAGGCAGCAGAGATTGCTTATATATGGCTAATACTGAAAAGAGTTCTTCTAGATTTTATAGTCATGGAAATTAGAAAGTGTGATCCAGAACAATATCCTCCTTTTAATTGTTTAATGCAGAATGTTCTCTTCCCTTCTTCCCCTATCCTGAGTCGTCTCTAAGGAACATCCTGATATAGAAACTATGCAGAAAGAAGAAGGGGTTGTCCTAATTTTTAAGGCTTTGAGGATGTCATTTCTAATATTGGTATTATGGGAGAATCATGATTTTTGTTGTTGTTATATAAATAAAAATCAAGGAGCCACCTCTTTCTGGACCTTTGTTTTCCTCAAGTTACTGCTGAAGTATTTTCAAAACAAGCCAACACTTGAATTTTAGTCACCAAAGTAGAACAAAGCATCTGCTAATAGAAACAGCCTGGTAAATAGTGGGAAAAAGCATGCAACTCAGAGGGCTTGTATTTAAAGCTCAGTTCCCTGCTTACTCCTAATTTGCCATCGACAAATCTTTTAACCTTGCCAACTTTCTCTATCCTCATCTGTAAAATGGGGTTAATGGAGGATTTCATCTGCAGAGTGGGGATAACAGAGATTAAAAGAGATGATATGGGTCCCAGATGACATTATGTCCCAAATAAACATGAGTTGAATCTTAACAATAGTATTATGACTGTGCAGTTACAACTAAAACTTTTCTCCAGTTGCCATCAGAAATGCCTTTGGTAGATTTCAAATTCTTTTTCAAACAGCCTGTTCTTCTTTGGACGGGATCCAGTAACCTTGCTGAAACTGGAGGATACATGGTTGCAATTGGTAGTTGGGCTTGCTTTCTCAAGGGTTCAAATAGCCTGTTTAGAGAAGGCACAAAAGTACAAAGCAAACATTTCAGCATATGCCATCAAGTCTTGGAAAGTCATCTAAAGGAGGAAAAATCGCCGCTTTGGAAGGAAAACGGCTCATTTTGTCATTTTGGGCATCGTTTCTGCTCTTCAAAAAAAAAAGCCTCTCTGTTGCAATATTATTCAAGGCACAATACTGTCCCAGATGGAAGAGGAAACACTGACAAGCAGAAAGGGCGCTACCTGGGGTTCCGAGGCAGCTTTGGCAAGGGGTGGTGCGCCGGGGGATCTGAACCACGCGGACTTTAGATGGGGGCGGGGGAGTCGTTATTTCGGTGGAAAAAATCCCCCCCGCCCGGAGGTCCCTCCGCGGAGACGGCGCAGCGACCCTCACAGTCCCCAACCCCAGCCCCTCCCAGCTCTTGCCGACCCCACAACGTGGTCGGACTGCGGTGCCTTTAAGACTTATGCTTGCTGCACATGCTCAGCTCTTTGTGTGTTGTTGGAGTTTTTCTCTTTTAAGGGGAGAAAAAAAACCCGAAGAAGAAGAAGAAATAAGCCAGAGGACGGGGCGGAGGAAGGGGAAGCGCCAGGAAAAAGCGCTGCACTTTTGCAGCTGTAGACGGCGGACGCGAAGGCTTCTATTTTGCTGAAGCTGCGAAGCCGGTCCCGAGCTGATCTTTCGCTTGCGGGGCTCAGGAGGAGCGTGGTGCGAGTGGGGCCCGGCTCCCTCGCGCGCGGCGGGCAAGGGCACCGCGGGCACGCGGGCCACACCTGGGGGGTCAACCACCCCTCGGCTCCCGGGCCGGACGGGTGGGCGCGCGCGGAGGAGACCGGGGTCCCAGTTAAGGCGGGGCGAGACCACGGCGCTAGGCGTGTGGGGGTGTGCGTGGGCAGGAGAGAGACGGGGAGGCGGTCCCACGCCCCACGGGCTCCCGCCGCAGCGCTGGTGGTTGGTTAGCGACACGAAGGATAAAATGGCTGCTGGGGGGCCGTCGGCCGAAGGCCGGGCGGTGTGAGGCTGACCCCCCCACTTCCCGAACCCCCCTCCCGCATTGGGCGCGCCCACCTCGACGCTCCAGCTGGCCCCCGCCCTCCCTGTTGCGCGGGGCTGGGAGCCCAGGCAGTTGGCGCGAGCCGTGGGTGAGGCGGGTCTGCGCGCAGGTCCCCTCCCCCTCCCGCCGGTCCTCTCCCGCAGGTCCCCTCCGAAGCTCCCGGTGCAGCCTGTGCCACGCGCTCCCCGCCTCCGGCCCGGCCCGGGGCGCCGTGGCGGTGGGCTCGGCCCGCTGAGGACAAGGTCAGGAGACGGAGAGGCGATGCCCGAATACGACTGGAGGGAGCCAAGCGGAGGCCACCGCGGTGGGGATCTGTCCCTCCTGACCGGGGAGCGGGACTGGGGCAGGCGCCGGTGAAGAGCAGCAGAAGCGGCGGCGGCGGGGGCACGGTTTTCTCCAGCCGGATTCCCCTCTGGAGCATCCCTGTCCGCGCCCGCGAGCGCAGCCCCGCCGGGCAGGGGCGCAGGGAACATGGAGCCGGGACCCCCGGCCCGCGCTGGCCCCCTGCAGCCAGCGGCCCGGGGGCTCTGGAGGGCTCGGCCGGCGGGCGCCGGCGGCGGGGGCGCCTCCTCCTGGCTGCTGGACGGGAACAACTGGCTGCTGTGCTATGGCTTCCTCTACCTGGCGCTGTACGCGCAGGTGTCCCAGTCCAAGCCGTGCGAGAGGACCGGCTCCTGCTTCTCCGGCCGCTGTGTCAACTCCACCTGCCTCTGCGACCCAGGCTGGGTGGGGGACCAGTGCCAGCACTGCCAGGGCAGGTTCAAGTAAGTGCCTTGCCGGACTCCGAACCTCAGCCCTGCCCGCACCCGTCGTGGCCCCCCTCCCCCTTCCCCTCGGCCTCGGGTCCCCCGGCCAGGAGCGGACCCGCCGCCCCCTCCAGCCTAGGCGCCTCGGGGACCTCTTGCCCGGCGCGGAGCACTGACCTCTCTGGACACTAAGCCTTTCCCGATGGTCCAGATGTCCGCAGCGACTTCTGGTCCCCTGCTTATCAAGATTTCTACACTCAGTTACGGTGCCCAACACCATTTTGTTAGGACGCTATTTTTTAATAAAAAAATTAGGCAAGTATCTCATGAAGTACTTGAGCATTGTGAAACATTCAAACAATACAGAAGTGTAAAGGTTAAAAGTTATGGTCTCTCAGTATTCCCCCTCTGCTCATCCTGTTTCTCTCTCTAGCGGTAACCACTGCTAACAGTTTATTTAGTAATAATAATGATCATAAGTAGAGTTTATGATGGGTTTGTTATATGTCAAACACTATTCTAAGCGCCTAGCGTGCATTATCTCGTTTGTTACTCAGAACAACTCATCGAGTTACTAGAAACATTGTAACGGATTTAGAGAGAAATCAGGGCAACCAGTGTAAGTAATTTGCCCAAGATTACACAGGAGAAGGGCCGATTGGTGATTCCAAACCAGTCAGCTTAACTCTAGAATGTTTACTTTTAGCCCATATACTATGTTGGATTTGCTAGGACAGTCTTGAATTGAGAAATACGAGAGTGACTTTGAGTTAGAGAAAAGAATGAAATACCCGGACTTTTTAATGTGGTGGAGATAATGCAGTTTCCTAACTGGTTATTTCACTATCAGCTGTTGTATGGGAGCATCACTTTGGTTTTTCTGAAGTTCAAGGCCCTAAGCAGTGGTTCTCAACCTGTGGGTCGTGACCCCTTTGGGGGTCCAACGACTTTTTCACAGGGGTCGCCTAAGACATAACAGTAGCAAAATTAGTTATGAAGTAGCAACAAAAATAATTTTATGGTTGAGGGGTCACCACAACGTGAGGAACTGTGCTAAAGGGTCCCCGCGTTAGTAAGGTTGAGAATCACTGCAAGGAGTTTGCTTTACAACAGTAAAGATACTGTCTCCCTATTGGGTGATGTTGATTGCCTTGCTGCCTACTGTGAAAAGAAATGGGTAGATGTGAGGGAGCAGAAAATAAGATCCTTGAGGTCGTTAGGGTAGCTAGCTATCTGACAACTTGCAGTTAAGTCTGAATAAGTCAGCTTCTTAGACTACTAGATACTTAACATGAAGTTTTCTGGCGGGTTTGTGGCTCTGAAATTACAGTATGTAGATTACTAATATTTATTGTTAGGATGATAGCAAAATCTAAATGAAATGTCTCCTAGGCTCTAAGACAAAGGTAGGAATGCGGTTCACCTTAATAATGTATTATAGGAAAAATTCCTGGGAGTTGTAAACACAGCATGCTTTATTTATTTATTTATTTATATTTTTGCACTGTTGCTGATGAAAACAATGGACCTCAAAACTCCTTGTAAAAATGTATTTTTTTTAATGGCACTTTTTAATTTTAAGTAGATCCTACTATTTAAATTCATAAACAGCAGGTTTTTGGCAGTGAAATCTCAAAATGAAATTTCATGAAATTAATTTGTAGCAATAGGTTGAAATGCTTCCTAGCTTCACACTTTCACAAGTTAGGATAGTATATATTTTAAAAATTTATTTTTATTTTTTTCCCTTTTATTTAAAAAATATTTTTTCTTTATTGATTCTTTTTAGAGAGAGAGGAAGGGAGAGGGAGAGAGATAGAAACATCTATGAGAGAGAACATCAATTAGCGGCTTCCCAATGCCCCCCACTGAGGATTGGGCCCACCACCTGGGCGTGTGCCCTGACAAAATCAAACCGCAACCTCTTGGTGCATGGATTGACACTCAACCACTGAGCCACACCTGCCAGTCACGATACTTTTTAAAAAAATAAGCTTTAAAAAAAATTTTGGGAGACATGATAATGAGAAGTTTAGAAAAGGTTTTCAAGATAAGGAAAGATACCGTATTGAATTGTGCTTGTTAGTTAGCCTTTTTCATTTAAGTCTTCTCAAACTTTTGCTATGACTATAGCAGCCAGCATCTTTACCTAGCAGGAGAGATTTTGAACCTATAAACTGAATGCCAACAATAAAAAAAGCCATATCCATTTTGTACATCTTTCTGTACACAAATAGGAAGATTGCTTGATTCCTATGTAATTCAGGGATATTGGCCTTTGTGTGGGTGAATTAGCTCCATCTGTCTAAGGATAAAATTGCTACTGTCCTTCGAAGCTCCTATCTGCATTTGATAGTAGTGGACTCATGAATCTGCTAGATCAGCAGCCTGTAGCCTCACCAGCAGATGTTATCCCACCAGCAGATGTTGTCACAGTTAGTAGGAAAGATCACAGATCAAGTTAAAAGTAGCTTAAATAACAGAGAGACAGTGTTCATAAGCACAATACATTCGTGAGTAAAAGAGGAATAGCTTTTTAAATATAGATACAGTTAAATAACAACAAACCCTGAACTAATCGTTGAATGTTCATTATTTGCTTGGAAACTGTTATTTCATATGACTCATTGTATTCTATTGATAAGTAGAATTCATTTAATTTCTCTGTGGAAAGAAGCAATTAATTAGAGTAAATATAACTGGTATGGCTCTGTGTTATGTATACTCTTAGGGGTAAAGAAAACATGGTATTTAATGTTAAAGGGAGGAATCAAGTTAGAAGAAAAGAATTCTTTCTGATAAATTACATGCTAAGCTAAGAAAGGTTTATTTGAGGATGGTGGCTTGAAGTATTAACACAGTGGGAAAGATTTTAAACTGGAAATTCTCACTCCATTAATTATCTTGAAAATCTTTCACTAGACTGGAGGATAGCAACCCAAACAAACAGACATCAAAAAATGATCAATCTTGGTAAGCAGGTGTCAAAATTAATTGGCTGGTTCCATGGTAACTTAGCTTTTTTTTCTACTATAGGGATTTCGCTAGGGAGTAAGAGTGTTCTTCAAATGCTACTTTAGAATGGAAGATTGATGGTTGGGGGAGAAATGCAGGAGCAAATGTGGTATCAAAAGTGGTACTTCAGTTCTCTTAGCATCATTCTAGTCTTTCTGTTTCCACTTAAAAAGAATGAAACTCTCAGAATTATAAGCCATTCCTCACATAGGTAAAACAAAATGAAAACTGATCTTTAGCTTCAGCAAGACTGAAAGATTTAGGACTGAAAACAGAAAGGACAATGCCAATTTGAAATACAATAATCAAGGATGTGACATATGTTAATTCAAATAGTATTTACTTGAGAAGCTTAGTATAACATTAGGCTAGAAAACATTTTGCTATAAAATTAATTAGAATAAATGGCATAGTCTTTTAGAAGCTCATTGTTTAGAATTATTTTTGTAGGGTAGTTGAGGTTTATATTTATATACATTTATATTCTGTGTTCAAACTTGCACATTTTCTTGCTGATGTGACTTAGGAACCCATGACTTCTAATTTCTCTTAAGTAAACAAAATAACCTAAATTAATGCTCTGAGATGGGAAAACATCTCATATTGTGATAATTTGCAAATTTAAATTTATTATTAAAATATCTAGAGAACATTTTCCTAAAATCATCTATTAAATCTTATTACTTGTTCAGTGCATATAGATATTCTTTTAATCTCATAGGTTAGTCAAATATGGATACTTTCATTTGTAATGAAAGTATTTATTTCTAGAGACAGTGAAATGAAGATATAATATTAGGGATAAGGTTGTTGTAAACAAAGGGGCAGGGTTAAATGTGTAAACGTTTTTCTTAAGCTACTAGTAGATGTACATATACACACACATATACTTGGAATCTTTTTTTCTTAGTAGTAGGGAAACTTTCAGTAACTGTAAAGTTAAATTGAATGTTGCCTGTCCCCAGGTCTTCTTTATTTTAAACTAAATTGTAATATGTAATTTATATCCATTTTTAAAGATTGTTAAAAATGACATAGTAGAAAATTTATTTGTTATTGAGTGAGAGGAAGGGAGAGAGAGAGAAACATTGATGTGAGAGTACAACATCGACTGCCTGCCTCCTGCACACCCCCTATCAGGGATCAAGGCCAAAACCCCGGGCAGGTGCCCTGACCTGGAATCACACCAGCAACCTTTCGGTGCATGGTCTGATGCCCAACCAACTGAGCCAAGCCAGTCCAGGCCACATTGTAGAAATTTTAAAATAATTTAAAGTGAGTGTTTCTAAGATTCTAAATTGTTAAAGTAAGTTACTTGTAGCATGGTTTTCAAGGCCACTTGTCTGCATAATTTGGCTCCTTTAGCAGGTAAGACTCAGCCCCTCTTTTTCTGCAGTGGTCTTTTAAAGTTTCTTTACAGTATCACATTCCTTTTGACCTCAGCATTTCTACACGTGCTGATATTTCTCTCGGAACCCTTTTTTTCTATCTGAGGTTTAGTGTGGCTGTTACTAAACATCCTTCAAATATTAGCTTATACTAGTATCCATAGGAGGCTTTTCTGACTCTTCAGGCTATGTTACCACTTATTATGTACTCTTATAATACTATTTTTTCTTTTTAGTACGTTCAAATGAATATTTAATTGCAATTGTAATTTTATCCTTTAAATTATTTTTAAGAGCTTTTTGAGGTATAATTTACATGCAATAAACATATAATTTTAAAAGTTTTGACGTGTACCTCTGAAACTTACAACAATCAAGATTATAAAAATGTCCGTTATATCCGAACCTTCTCTTTCCTGCTGCTTCTCCCTGTCCTGACAACTACTGAGCTGCTTTCTGTCACAATAGGTTTGTTGGCATTTTCTAGAATTTTATATAAGTGGAATCGTGCATTATGTATTCCTTTTTGTCTGGCTTCTTTCATACACCATATTTATTTTGAATTCATTAATAGTGTATTAGAAGTTTATTCCTTTAAATTCTTGAGTAGTATTC